CTTCAGGTTTTGTTTGTTTGGGAAAACCTTTATCTCTCCTATTCTGAATGATAGACTTGCTGGATAAAGGATTCTTGGCTACATATTTTTTCTGTTCATCACATTGAAGATTTCCTGTCGTTCCTTTCTGGCCTGCCAAGTTTCAGTAGATAGGTCTACCTTTGTAAGTTAGAGCCTGTCTATTTTTAGATGCTTTCAGAATTCTCTCTTTATCCTTGTATTTTGCCAGTTACACTATGATATGTCATGCAGAAGATTGATTCAAGTTACGTCTGAAGGTAGTTCTCTGTGCCTCTTGGATATCAATGCCTGTTTCCTTCCCCAGATCAGGGAAGTTCTCAGCTATGATTTGTTCAAGTACACCTTCAGCCCCTTTGTCTCTCTCTTCCTCCTCTGGAATTCCTATGATACAGATATTGTTCCGTTTGATTGCATCACTTAGTTCTCTAATTCTCCCCTCATATTCCTGGATTTTTTTTTATCTCTCTTTTCCTCAGCTTCCTCTTTTTCCATAATTTTATCTTCTAATTCACCTATTCTCTCCTCTGCCTCTTCAATCCGAGCTGTGGTCGACTCCATTTTATTTTGCACCTCATTTATAGCATTTTTTAGCTCCTCATGAATATTTCTTAGTACCTTGATGTCTGTAGCAATAGATTCTCTGCTGCCTCTATGCTTTTTTTCAAGCCCAGAGATTAATTTTATGACTATTATTCTAAATTCTTGTTCCGTTATATTGTTTAAATTGTTTTTGATCAATTCGTTAACTGTCGCTACTTCCTGGAGTTTCTTTTGAGGAGAGGTCTTCTGTTTCATCATTTTGGGTAGTCCCTGCAGTGGCTCCAAACTGCAGGGCAATTCCCCTGTGCTGTCTGGAGTAACTTGTGTTGGGCGGGGCTGCAGTCAGACCCAATATCTGCCCCCAGCCCACCAATGGGGCCACAATCAGACTGGTATGTACCTTATCTTCCCCTCTCCCAGGGGCACAACTCACTGTGGAGTGGTGTGGCCCTTGTCTGGGCTACTTGCACACTGCCAGGCTTGTGGTGCTTCGATAGGATTTGGTGTATTAGCTGGGGCGGATCTGGTTGCACTGGGGCGGGAGGGGCAGGCTTAGCTCGCTTTGCTGTCGGTGGTCCCCTGCAGGAGGGGCCCTGCAGCACCAGAGGGAGGCAAGCAGACCTGTCAGAGGGATGGATCCACAGAAGCACAGCATTGGGTATTTGTGCGGTGCAAGCAAGTTCGGGCAACTGGTTCCCTTTGGGATTTCAGCTGGGGGATGGGAGAGGGAGATGGCACTGGCCAGCGACTTTGTCCCCCTGCCGAGCTGAGCTTTGTCTTCCAGGGCTCAATACCTCTCCCTCCCGGTGTCCTCTCGCCCTCCCACTCTCGGAGCAGAGCTGTTGACTTATAACATTCCAGATGTTAAGTCCCGCTGGCTGTCAGAACTCATGCAGTCTGGCCCCTCGGCTTTTGCAAGCTAGACTTTGGAGGCTCTGCCTTGCTTGGCGGGCTGCCCTTTCACTGCCCTGGCTCCCTCCTGCCAGTCCATGTAGCATATACCGCCTCTCCGCCCTTCCTACCCTCTTCCGTGGACCTCTTGTCTATGCTTGTCTCCAGAGAGTCCGTTCTGGTAGTCTTCTGGCGGTTTTCTGGTTTAGTCAGATGTGGGTGGAATCTAAGCAATCAGCAGGAGGAGGTGAGCCCAGCGTCCCCCTACACCGCCATCTTCTCCCAACACTTAGAGTTCACCTTTTAATGACTCTGGCTGTCATTGAAAGTATAAAGCAGGAGAGTGATTTGATTACTTTTGTGTTTTGTAAAGATCTGACGACATTGCAGAGATTAGACTGGGGAGTGCAAAAGACTGAACAGGGAGGAAGAATTGGATAAATGGATGAGAGTTTATGGGAATGAAGTGGACAGCACAATCGATAATCATTTACTGAATACATGGATTGTAAAGGACTCCATGCGCAGCAGGTGGGACAAAGACAAGTCAGACCAGATCCTGCCCCCAAGAGACTTACAGATTAACAGGAAAGTGAAAGCTCAACATAAATGGTTCTAGTATAAGGTTCAGTAATATATTAAGTGCTCTGAGTGGCATGGTGGAGACTCCTCTTCCCTGTGCACAGTAGGTGCTTTATTGATAATGATGACAATACAGCATTGGACAGGATAAGCTTTAAGGCTTCTTACAGCTTATTGTGAAAGTCTATGAGGGTCTGGTTCTGAGAGGCAATAAGCCTTATCAACTGACAAAGGTGTTAATCCCTGTCATAATATGTGGAGTAGCTGGGATCCAAATGAGAATAAGATAATAGAAATGGAATACAGGGAAAACAGGAACTTAAAAAATCTTCAAAAATCAGCCTATTGGACCTTCAGACATGTTTGCAAAAGGCAAATGCTTACTAAAATACAGAAGAGTGGCATAATAAACAGGGTGTGAAAAAATTCTTGAAAAAACAGTTCTTTATCACAGTGTTCTTGTCCCATCCGTACTTGACAATGCTTTTCTTACACTGTCCACACACTTGGCAATGCTTATAAATAATAGCAAAGTGTCAGAGGGCAGCTGAGTTATAAAGGGAGTTTGGAGTAGGTAAATCAGGAAGGAGAGGCAAATGTGATCAGCCTACCACCCTTCTCTCCATGCAACGTAGTGCTCACTAACCGTCAAGAGCCTCCTCTATCTTGCATCCAAAACTGAAAATGAACTTAGTCAAATGAACATGATCCTTTTGCCCACTGCCCTTATGGGATGAAAAACCTGTAAAGAAATCACTGATAGGACTGCTCGGTCACTATCCATCCTTGAGTGCACTAGCATCACATGACACTTGAAATTCAAAAACTTTCTTTTTTCCTCAACTAAGAACTCTAGTGGAACCCCCTCATGACATTCTGCAGAACCTCAGTGCTCCTCAGAACCCCAGTTGAGAAGCCCTGGTGTAGAGGTACAAAGTCTTCTTCCACGCGTGTGTGCATGCACACATATGTATGTGTTATGTGTGTGTATTTTAATCCCGGACTCTTCTTGCTTCTTGAATATATAAGGGAGGGATGACACATAGGCTTGAGAAGTCCGAGGTCTGTTAGACTTACAACCAACTTCTGGAAAGGCAATCTGTCCAATTTTGCCTTAGATCCCTACCCAATCCTCATAAGGGTCCTCCCTGCCTTGTCAACTTGTGAAAGATGCTGATTTTCTTTAGCTTATATTCCAAGGGCAATGACACTAGGGTTGATGACCATCTGGTCCCTTCCTAGTCTTTCATGGGGAAACCTGAGACACCATTCACAAGCACCCACTGTTGACCTGTCAAGTGGTATCTTCTCTTGAGAGAACTGCTTCTTATAGGAAATTTCACTCTAATCTCTTGCATATACATTGGTGGAAATAGCAATCATGTAGACATAGAATAATAGTGACCATTATGAGGAATTTCTGACAAGTCAGAGTGACTGGTGATCTCTTTTTTTTAATTTTTTTTAATTTTTAAAATGTTAATTTATTTTTGAGAAAGAGCTTGAGCAGGGGAGGGGCAGAGAAAGAGGGAGACAGGATCCAAAGCAGGCTCTGTGCTGACAACAGGAGCCTGATATAAGGCTCAAACTCACGGTGAGATCAAGACCTGAGCCAAAGTCAGACACTCAACCAACTCAGCCACCCAGGTGCCCCTCTGGGCCCCCATTCTAAATAGGCAAAGGGAAAACATCCCTGGCACATATTGTTTCAGGTATCCATTGCAATGGCCCCAGGTTGAGGTCACATGGTATAAACATAGCTGCTGGGTATCCATCTCTGGGCTCTAGAAAGCAGTTCTATCACTACAATTTGCATCAAGATCTTGTTGAAGAAATGGTGCATACCTATGTTGAAGTTTAATATAAGAAATCTATTTCAGAACTAAATATTGGAAAGGTATCACTTTTCCTTTTCCCTGAGGAACTGGCAACTTTTTCTATGAGAATAATTAGAACAATGAAACTGCCCAGATTGCCTTTTCTCCTCTGGCTATCACTAATTTATTTAGGGCCAAACCTACTCAGCTCACAAAAAGCTCTAGTTTTCATGCTCCAGGGTTTCTTTGACCAATGTCTCTGATTTTGTTCATATGTTCCCCATTCTATTTTATTTTATTCTATCTGTATCTGTTATCTGTAAACAGGTTCAAATTTGTTGTAGATATGAGGAATGGAAGAAAGAAGGGAAGGGAGGAAAGAGAGAAGAAAGGACAGGAGAAGGAATGTAAGGAAGGAGGAAATGCCCCACGTTTTGCTCATTAATGAAACGGAGTATGATCCAGTGTCTATTACAGTCTCTTTACTGCAAACAGCATTTTGACATTTATCACCCCATTGGAAAGGCAGAAAAGCAGAGACAAGATCATGGAGTTTTATTTTCCTGTGAAAAGAATAAATAATGGGAACTCGAAAAAGAGCTGAAGGTTGGTTTTATGATGGCAGGGATGGATTAGAAACTAAAACAAAAAAGAAACAACATGCTAGTATATTTCTTGTTTATGTAACTCTGCCCAGCTAGGTATGGGGATTGAAAAGCAGCACTGATCTTTCCTGTAAGTGCTCTACCATGCGTTACCTCCTTAGATCCTGGCAAATACCCTGTAAAATAGGTCACATGGGTATTATCTTAACTGAGGAATTAAAGCTCAACTTACCCCAAACCATAAAACTAATGTTTACGACAGTGTTACAATGGATAAGGCAGGAGGCTGTGGTTCAGCCTTAGCTTGAATTTCCAGTTCTACTGTTATGTATGAGGTTTGAAGCATGTCACTTAACTTGTTTCCTCATATGTAAAATGAGAATAATGTGTCCTCTTGCATGTCTCCTTTTCCCTCCTGGAAATGTTGTGTGTATTTTGCATGAGGTCTCTAGAAGCAGAACTTGGCCAGACCTAATGCAAGCCTCGTCTTGGTCTTTTTCCTGGGATTTCAGTCTCCAACTCAAAGTCTCCTCTCACATTACAGGGCACACTACAGGTCCCTCTGCCAGTTGCCAATGTTCCAGCTGACCGCCACCCCGGCAAGTGCCCTTGCAGATGAGCCAGTGCATATCCGAGTGACAGGCCTGTCCCCGTTGCAGATAGTGACCCTCACGGCATCCCTGAAGGATGAGAAAGGGTACGTGTACCACTCTAAAGCCTTCTACAAGGCGAACGAGGTTGGCGAACTGGACCTAATGGAGGCTCCTTCAATTGGAGGCGACTATGTGGGGGTCCACCCGATGGGTCTCTTCTGGTCTCTGAAGCCCGAGAAGGTTTTCCGGAGGCTGATTAAGCAGGATGTGATGAACAGCCCCTTTTATGTCACTCTGAACCTATATGACTCAGTTTATTTGCAAGTTTCCACCACAGATCAGCCTAGGGCCAGCCAGACAGTACAGCGCTGGTTCTCAGGCCCTGGCATACAGCGGGTGCAGATCCGAGAAGGTCGTGTGCGAGGAGCCCTTTTTCTCCCTCCAGGTGAGGCCAATCTTTGGTGATATGGAAAACATTGTTGACAAATATAAAAACAAAAACAAATGGCATCAAATTATTGGAGAACTAATATTTCGATACACGATAGTTTAAAAGCAACATGCTATTTTGTGTGTGAGTGAAGGTGGAAATCACGTTGCTCATCCCGTACTTCCCCTGATATCCACGGGGCCCTCTTTTCACTCTTTCTGATCCCATTCTCTTTTCTTTCTGTTGCTTTCAGGAGAAGGTCCTTTCCCAGGAATCGTGGATTTGTTTGGGGGCAGAGGGGGTCTGGTTGAATTTCGGGCCAGTCTTTTGGCTACCCATGGCTTTGCGGTGTTGGCATTAGCATATTTTCTCTATGAAGATCTGCCTAAAACACTGGAGGAGATCGACCTGGAATATTTTGAGGAAGCTGCTAACTGGCTATTAGTTCATCCCAAGGTATTTTTTTTTTTTCTAAGTTTATTTACTTATTTTGAAAGAGAGAGAGACAGAGTGTGAATGAGCAGGGGAGGGTCGGAGAGGGAAAGAGAGAATACCAAGCAGCCCTTATGTGGGCTCACAAACTGTGATACGATGACCTGAGCTGAAATCAAGAGTTGGACGCTTAACTGACTGAGCCACCCAGGCACCCCAATCCAAGGTATTTAAAATACTTTTCATTCTACCTTGCAACATTATAGTGAAAAAAAAAAACATAAATGTTTGTTTTGCCTATTTTACCAATCTGTTTAGACTTGGGCATAGCAGAGTTTACTCTTAAAATGGGGATGATAATATCTACCTTGTAGGATTGTTGGGATCGGTGGTGATCAACTTACTGGCACAAAAGACAGTAAATGGTGGATATATTATGATCATTTTCAATGGGAAGAAAAAGCCAAGAGTCCTCACATTTGAAGTGCACGTGACTTGTTCATCAGTGGCTCTTCAATTTTCATTAGCCGCTGATCTCAAATCATGAATTCTCTGACTTGAAGTGTTTTCAAACTTCAGTGATGGTCTCTGCATGGGGTAATACTGGAGTAAGTCACACTAAAGAGTCCTGAGACTAAGAACATGCAGAAGTTCCGTTTCAGAGCTGGGCCACAGGATTAGAGCAGAATTATCAGCAAAATGGATGTGGCTGCACCATCTGATTAGCTGAATTAGCTCTTCAGGTATCAGATCTAGGAACAGAACTAAGCCTAAAATAAGTGTCCAAGTCTAAAAGCCAGGGTAGGGAATGGAATCTGGAAAGGAAGGATCATTTTAGAACTCTGTCAAGTCTTGTTGTACCATTGAAAATATCATCCATGGGGCGCCTGGGTGGCGCAGTCGGTTAAGCGTCCGACTTCAGCCAGGTCACGATCTCGCGGTCCGTGAGTTCGAGCCCCGCGTCAGGCTCTGGGCTGATGGCTCGGAGACTGGAGCCTGTTTCTGATTCTGTGTCTCCCTCTCTCTCTGCCCCTCCCCCGTTCATGCTTTGTCTCTCTCTGTTCCAAAAATAAATAAACGTTGAAAAAAAAAATTTAAAAGAAAATGTCATCCATGGCCCAGAGGCTTTGTTATCAGGTGATGAATGTGAATGGGTGATTTTTCTAAGCATATTTGGCTCTTTTTAAAGGATTGTCCAGATAAAATGTTTAAGTGAAAAATTTTCTTTCACTTCAAATTTAACTATTTGTGACATTATCTGAGGAGAAAGGGCAATTGTCAAAATTCAGTTAAAATTTTTTTAAGTTTACTTTTTTTTTTTTTTGAGAGAGACAGAGACAGCACTAGTGGGGGAAGGAGAAAGAGACAGAGAGAAAGAGAGAGAGAGAGAGAGAGAGAGAGAGAGAGAGAAAGAGAGAGAGAATCCTAAGCAGGCTCCGTGCTGCCAGCACAGAGCCCAACACGGGGCTTGATCCCATGAAACCACGAGATCATGCCCTGAGCCAAAACCAAGAGTCAGATGCTTAACCGACTGAGCCACCCAGGTGCCCCCAAATTCAGTTTAGATTTAGATTCATCAGAAGAGGTGCAGTTCCCACCTCTGCCCCTTGATACTGTTGTAACCTTAAGCAGGGCTTGTAAACTTCCTGAATCTCAGTGCTATTATGGAAGGACAAGCTGAGACAACTTACGTGTAGAGCACTTAGCTGAGGGGCCGGCATATATAGTAAACTCTCAATAAATCCACCTTGTCATCTTTGCCCATCTGGTTTTACCCCTCTCCCTTCCCCACATCCTCAACCAGTCCCAAAGTGTTTTAGGGTCTGTTCCTGAATCTTTCTCAATACCTCACACCCTGTCCACCGTCCAGGCCACTGTTTTAGTTTGTTGTCATCACTGCCTCACTGTGGTACCGCCATAGTGTAGTTTCCTATCTCTCGTCCCTTGCTCTCATCCCTTGCCCCAGTCCTGTCCTCTTATGGATGGTTCCCAGATATGGGAGCCCACTGGATTTCCCCATGGATATGCTATATTATCCGATTCTTGGGCCCACTCAGAACTATTGAAGTAGAAACGTGAAAACTGGATCTTGGAAAGCTCTAATTAAAAAAGATTTTTTTTCAGGTGATCTGATAAAAGAAAGGTGCTGGGCATACAAATGTAAGCAAAGTAAACATATCAGGTTGCAATGTATTTGCTACTGTCTTTCCAAAATGCCCTTCCTTTCCCTACTCATATTTCCCCCCAGGATTTTATTTATTTACTTATTTATTTAAGTATAGGAGAGGTCCCTAGGTGCCTGGTACCTGACCCTAGGATGATCTATCTTTCTTTCTTTTTCTTTCTTTCATGTTTACTTATTTTTGAGAGAGACAGAATGTGAGCAGGGGAGGGGCAGAAAGAGAGGGAGACACAGAATCTGGAGCAGGCTCCAGGCTCCGAGCTGTCAGCACAGAGCCCGATGCGGGGCTTGAACCCATGAACCATGAGATCAGGACCTGAACCCACTGAGCCACCCAGGCACCCCACAAGATTTTATTTAAATTCGAGTTAGTTAACACCTTTCCCTACTCATCTTCCTAACTTCTCTGTTCCCTTCCTAATCTTCCCTCTGTTCCCTCAGCCTTCCACAGAATTAAGGACCCCCTTCTACGGCCTACTACTTTTGCTATTGGACTGGGCACTGGGATTCAATTGTTTATAGAATCCAAGGCTTCATCTTTACACCCCCAATGCTTTCATTAATCTAGCTCTTAGATTAATGGATGTGCAAAACCTCCGTTGCTGTAAAATGCTATTTAAATATGAATAACACAAAATATTCTAAAGAACCTAGGGAAATCTCTTTTCCTAGCCAGAGAGAAGAATTTGATTCTTTGTGAAGTTTACCTGCTTGTACTCACTTGATGTTGAACATTGCTGGTGCATTTAGACTCTGCTTTTACAGAACTCTGCCTTTGATGAAGAGTTTTTATTTCTTTTTTGTTTGTTTATTTTTGAGAAAGAGAGAGAGAGAGAGAGAAAACGAGCAGGGGAGGGGCAGAGAGAGAGGGAGACACAGAATTGGAAGCAGGCTCTAGGCTCTGAGCTGTCAACATAGAGCTGGACGCGTGGCTCAAAGTCACCAACTGTGAGATCATGACCTGAACCGAAGCTGAAGGCTTAACCGACTGAGTCACCCAGGCGCCCCACGGCTTTTATTTCTATTGTTTCACTAGATCATCATAACAATCCTGCAGGGTAGGTAATATTAACGCCCCCATAAGACAAGAAGGCTTTCAGAGGGCAGACAAGTAGGTAATGTTTTCAGTCATAGAAGCTGGTAAACTCGAGTGCCAGGACTCCCATCCAATATTTTCTGTTTGCTCACACTAGCTTACTGGCCTGTAAGGCGGCTTCTTCGAGTATGGCATGTGATGGGTTCCCTTTATTTTGTGCTTCAGATCCAAAAGCCAGGAATCGGAGTGATCTCCGTGAGCAAAGGTGTAGAGATCGCGCTGGCCATGGCCTGCTTCATGAAGCAGGTGGTAGCCACCATCTGCATCAATGGGCCCAACGCCATCTATGAATTTCCGCTCAGGTACAAAGATCTGGTTATAACACCCATCCCCTCGTTTATGGAGCGCGTGCAGATTGACGTTTTAGGAGCTATGCGCTTCCGCCACTACAAGGGGGACGCCCGGGATGAACTGAATCGGAAGAGCGTGCTTCCCATCGAAAAGGCCCAGGGTGCGATTCTTTTCATTGTAGGAGACGGTGATGAATGCTTGAATAGCAGGGAGTATGCTGAGCAGGCCTTGGACCAGCTGAGGAGCCATGGGAGAAACAATGGAAGGATGCTGGTATACCCGGGGGCGGGCCACCTCATAGAACCGCCCTACACACCCCTGTGTTATGCTTCCCCACACAGGTTCGGTTCCGGGATCCTGCTCTGGGGAGGGGACCCTGTTGCCCATGCGGCAGCCCAGGAGCACTCCTGGGGAGAGATCCAGAAATTCTTCAGGGAACACCTTACTCAAACCAGAAGCAAACTCTGAGCAAGGAAGGGCTAAGGGTGGTGATGTACTGGGGAGACAGACAATGAAAGTAAGGCAGGAATATGACGGAAAGAGGGGGCTTTCCTGATTTCTCTAGATTCACAGTTATTTTGGACCAACTGGAAGGAAATTGGACAAAATCAAAGGACAAGGGCACAGGTGCATATGAACTATTTCGAACGAATTTGTATGTGATTTGAATTTTTGTAAATCGAATCTTAGTTTATATGTACCAGCAGGGTACATCGCTGTCTCAAAATTGTGATACCCTTGCAAATTGAATAACCTTTGTACCCCAGTTAGGGATACCTTGGATCCAGGTATTTGCCAATCTAGGTGAATTCCCTGGGACTTGGCAAGTGGTGGAAAACATTTTCTGTTTAAAACTGGGTTTCTCGGGGTGCCTGGGTGGCTCAGTCGGTCGGGTGTCCGACTTCGGCGCAGGTCATAATCTCGGAGTCTGTAGGTTCAAGCCCCGCGTCTGGCTCTGTGCTGATGGTTTGGGACCTGGGGCCTGCCTGTGATTCTGTGTCTCCCTCCCCTCAGCTCCTCCCCTGCTCACGCTCTGTCTCTCTCTCAAAAATAAATAAAAATTTAAACAACACCAACAACAACAACAAACCAGGTTTCTGACATTTGATATGAAAAGTTCTAATGCTACCATCAAATGTAATGCTTGCTATAGATTTCCAATAGGTATTTTTTTTTCTCAGAATAGGGATGTTTCTTTTCATCTCTAAAATATATTTCTTTTTACCATTTTTAATAAGGACTGGGGTTGAATTTAATCATGTGCCTTTGTAGCATTTATTGAAATTAGTTAATGTATTTAAAACAATTAGAATAGCAAATAGAATAGATACATAGCAATTACTGTATCAGAATTTGCGGTCATTATTTTCATACTGCTTTCTGCCTTCAATCTGTTAATGGGGTGAATGACATTCATTAATGGACTCATTTTGCTTTTGCATCTAATTTTACTACATGATTTTCTCATATTGACTAATTTGAGTTTTAATTTTCTTTTGGAGTCAACCTGGCCATTTATATTTTCTCAGAATTTCACCTATGTTTTATAGAACACATTTGTCACTTAGAAGTTGCACATATCCCGTTATCTATTGGCATGCTTTCTCTTTTTTCCTCTTGGTCTGACTTGCCAAATATGTTTTTTTATTTTATTGATCTTTTCCAAGAACAGTTTTTGGTTTATTTATTGGTCAAGTCTTTTTTTCCTGATTCCTTGATTTCTGGGTTTGTTTTTTTTAATATTTATTTTTGAGAGAGAGAGCGCTCATCAGCAGGGAAGGAGCAGAGAGAGAGAAAGAGAGAGAGAGAGAGAGAGAGAGAGACAGAGGATGCGAAGCAGGCCTTGTGCTGACAGCAGCGAGACCAATGAGGGGCTCCAACCCACCAACTGTGAGATCGTGACCTGAGCCTAAATCAACCGAGTGAGCCACCCAGGAGCCCCTCTGTTGATGTTGTTGTTGTTGTTGTTATTTTTATCAAACCATTCCTTCTGCCATTTTTGTGTTTATTTTTCTGGCTTCTTGACATCCAGTGTTCTCATTTCGTTAATTTCTAAACAGTTTCTGATTTACTCCCCACCCCCAACTTAATCAAAGAGTCATTTTACCAAAGTACAAAGTAGCATACTATAGATATTTATTGATTATAAGGGGAAGGGGTGAGGAACTTTGTAGTGGAGGGATCACATTGTTACCACTTGAACCCACTGTTCAAACTTAGCATCTTTTAAAATGGTCATTTTTAAAAATTAAATTAAAACAAATTTTTGAGAGAGAGAGAGCGCACATGAGCGGGGGACAGGGACAGAGAGAGAAAGAGAGAGAATCTTGAGCAGACTCCATATCCAATGGGGCGCCTGATGTTGGGCTCTATCCCAGGACCCTGGGATCATGACCTGAGCTGAAATCAGGAGTCAGAGGCTATAGTGACTGAGCCACCCCTTTTTTAAAAATTTATTTTCTTTAAGTTTATTTATTTTGAGAGAGAGAGAGAGAGAGAGAGAGAGAGAGAGCAGGGGAGGGGCAGAGTGGGATAGGGGGAGAGAGAATCCCACACAGGATCCACACTATTAGTGCAGAGCCCAACTTGGGGCTCAATCTCATGAACCATCATGATATCATGACTTGAGCAGAAATCAAGAATCAAATGTTTAACCTAATGAGTCACCCAGGCGCCCCTAACAAAGGTCATTTTTACATGATGTGTTTCATGACAACATGTAATGTGGAGTGCCCTGCACTACTTAGATCTATGTCTAACAACACTATTAAACGTGAACTTAACCAGGGGTGCCTGGGTGGCTCAGTTAGTGTGACTTCGGCTCAGGTCATGATCCCACGGTTTGTGATTTCGAGCCCTGCATCGGGCTCTGTGCTGACAGCTCGGAGCCTGGAGCCTGTTTCAGATTCTGTGTCTCCCCCTGTCTCTGCCCCTGCCATGCTCGTGCTCTCTGTCTCTCAATATTGAATAAACACACACACACACACACACACAAAATGTAAGCCTAATCAAACTTTTAGATCAAACTTATTAGTATAGTGGCTAGAGACCAGTTAAAGGGTACTGCAAAGAGACAAACAAATCTACGTTGTGGGTCATTCTACCACCTGGTCTCATCGTAAGTTAATTAGCAACAGATCTAAACAACTTAGAAAAGTTAGTTGCATGAAAAAATTTGTGAGATTTTTTTTTCCTTTTTGTTTTTGCATTGGAATGAGCTGTGGGGCTATCAAGCATTAAAAGAGACTTATGAAACATAATCAACCAAATGCTATTTGTGGGCTTGGTTTGAACAAAGTAACTGCAAAAAAAGACTTTTTGGGGACAATTAGAAAAATTTGAATATGTACTGGGTATTAAATGATACTATGAAATTGTTATTATGTTGTTAGGTGTCCTAATATTGTGGTTGTGGAAAAAGTCACTTCTACATATAGATGCATACTGACATATTTAAAGGTGAAGGATTGTGGTATCTGGGAATTGTTTTAAAGTACTACAGGAATATGGCAAAATGTAAATAATTATTACATCTAGATTGTGGCTATTGTGAGGTTTGTTATAGTATTTTATGTGCGCTTGCAATGTTTCATAATAAAAAACTCAAAATATAAAAGACACAATGTATTTACCTTTCATCCTCCAAAGGCAAGAACTTTAGCATATGCTATATCTTTTTCTCCGTGATACCCCCATTAATTTCAGATTATTGATTTGTTTTACAATAAATACATATTTAACATAAATAGCTATGCTTTAATGTGTTTTTCATCCTTGTGGTTTCTTATAACCTGTTTTTTCAGTTCTTGGCTTTATCTTCTATTTGGCCATTTTTTAAAGTGCAAACTCAAGTAACTATTTTAAAATACTCTTATTTACCTGAATCTTAGCAAATTTAGAAGTGTCTATTTTTACTTACTTTTTAATGATAATTTTTACACCTATAGAATTTGATGGTAACAGACTTTGGTATTTTTATTTTTGTATCCATTGTTGTCAATGAGAAGTCTGATTCTTGTTACTTTGTGGGATTTTTCTCTGAAAGATTTTTACAATTTTCTCTTTGTTCTTAGTGTTCTGGAATTTCTTCAAGTTATGAGTAGGGGCGGGTTTGTCATTACTAGGTTTATTTTGCTTGGTACTGTATGGGCCATTCCAAACTCAAGACATAGCTGCCTTCAGCTTTAGATATTTGCTTCTGTTTTCTTTTTTTTAATGGTTTTTTAATGTTTATTTATTTTGAGAGAGAGAGAGAGAGAGAGAGAGAGAGAGAGAGAGAGGGAGAGTGCGTGTGAGCAAGTGGGGGAGGGGCAGACAGAGAGGGAGAGAGAGAATCCCAGGCAGGTTCCATGCTATCAGCACAGAGCCCGGTGTGGGGCTCTATTTCATGGACCATGAAATCATGACCTGAGCCAATATCAAGAGTCTATGCTTAACTGACTGAGCCACCCAGGTGCCTTGATTCTTCTATTGATTTTCTGATCACTTACCCTTTTCATCTTTTCTACTCTCTCCTTCTGGAACTCCAATTAAGAGAACAAAATTCTCTTAATTGGAGTTTCTGGATATATTCTCTATGAATATTAAATTTCTCTCATGCTTCTTTTTTGTAGTCCCTGCCTCCCGTGCCTGCTCCCTGTATTCTTGGAGAGCTTCACAGTTTAATTGTTCAACTCACTAATTTGCGCTTCAGTTGCTTCCAAGTTGTATTTAGCTCAAATCTCAGGTATTATTTTGACAATCATTATTTAAAATGTTCCCACTCTATAATTGCATCTGTTTCCTTAAAGCCTGTTCTCATTTTTCTCTCAGTTTTATTGAGATATAATCTAGAAATAATATTGTGTAAATTTTAAGGCATGCAATTCGAGGATTTGATGTACATATATGTTGTGAAATGACTACCACAATTAGGTTAGTTAGCACATCCATCACCTCATATAGTTATCAGTTCATGTGTGTGCGTGTGTGGTGAGAGCATTAAAATCTGTTCTCTTAGCAAACTGCGGGTAAACAATACAGTATTAGTAACTATAGTCACCATTATCCCATTGTCATTTTATAGATAGATCAGTAGATATCCTTTCTTATTCCTGCTTTCACCAGTAGCCTTCACGAACACACCCACATTCTGTGCAGAATAATGTCATTGTATTTAAAAAGCAGTATAAACCTTTGGGATTAAGAAACCCACTGATCCCAGCACTACTTGGATATTGCTTTTTAGGGATCTGATTTCAGCAAAATGAAACAGATCTTCTTCATGGTCTTCTTTCAAGGCTTTATTGAGATCTCAGCTCCCAGCTCCACCATTTAGTTGTCACCTGTTGTTTGCTTAGAAAAATCAGACTAAAACTAGCCTATATTGGGCTAATTATTGTCTCTCAAAAAAGAAATCCAAAGAAAGGATAGTTTTGGTTATTCACCAGTTCAGCAGGGTCAGTAAGAACCAAATTCCTTCTGTCTTTCTGCTCTGCCATCCTTAACAGGCTAACTTACTCTCTAAGGCTAGCCCCCCCTATTGTTCTCAGATGTTGACCACAGGCCCTCGTATCTCAAAAGATCTCCCTTAGGTTTCCCCATGTCTCAGTGGCCAAACTGGGTCACATGTTCATGACTAAAGCAATCACACAATCACAAGCAAAAGAAATGAGACCACCACGACAACTTAGACAATCAAGACTTAACCTTACACATCCAGCATCATCGAAGGACATGTCCATTTGGCAGATGGCTAAACAAGTGAAATCCATTATTAGCAAGGGCTATCGACTTGCCAATCAGCACAGTTTGCCCCACTTGTGTTTCCTATTTCCTCTATTATTTTTTATAACAAATGAAAATGGGGGGGGCAGGTACTTTTCTGGTTTCTGATGCATTCCAAATATTTTCTTTAACTTGTGGACAAAGATTACTCTTGAATTGACTTG